GAAGAGACACCTTAATCCCCCTGTGGGAGCCCTGGGCACCCCCCCTTCCTGAGAGACAACTGGTCCCTTGGTATATACCTGAGCTTTTACCTGGGCAGGTCCTACACCTGGTTGAGTTATCTCTTGCTCCCGCGGATCCCCATCCCCTGATGAACTTAGTTTTAAAGCCCGCTGGAGGAGGTCAACTAGCCTGTAAGAAAACAAACTCTTACCTTTGGGGGAGAGATGAAGGCCATCACGCCTCAGGATGCCCTCTGCTCTGAAGTGCAGGTAGTGGTCCAGGAAGCCAAATCCGGCGTGACGACACCAACTCCGGAGCTATGGGACCCATAGGGATAGGTGCTCTACTTCTGTATGGTAAATGATCATGCTGGCATCGGATTCCACACCTAGATTGCTTGCTGGGTATTCAGTAAAATCTGTCTACAGTATCCCTAAAATGGTAGCATGGTAGTTTTACTTATTGAGTCCCAAATGGGCATATAATTTAATGTCCACCAACTTTGAGAAGCTTCCCACCGTATTCCTCAGTCAGCCAGGCTGGATGCTGTTAAGCAATGCAAAGCAACCCCCCTCTTTGTATGTTCAGTTCTTCCACTGTAGCTTGAGGATGAAAAGACTGACCTAGGAATGATAACAGGTCTTCATATGGTCTTGCAGTGCAGTATCACCTGCTCCATCATGCTGGCTGCTAGGGTTGGTATTTGTAATATATTTGAGTAGTTTCGAGCCTCTGTGGACTTTTATAACAATAATCTGCTGTTTGAATACTGAGTTTTTCCTATTCCCCTATTTAGCGTATGGTTGTGATTTGAAAAGAAAAGGAATTTTGTCAAAGAAAAAACTTGAGGACCGATGCTAATGTGCTGCTCCTACTGGCTTCCTGTTTGTTGGGTCACAGTGGTCTTTGACAAGCAATTTTCTTGCCCAACAACAAACATCATCTCTTGTTCTTAAAATCAGCATCATACATATGTATCCACTGTATAACCATGTTATCCAAAAAGTAAATGAGTAACATGTTTCATTTGCTTTTGAAAGACCAAAATATGCATTGCTGGATGAATGTACAAGTGCCGTGAGCATCGATGTTGAAGGAAAGATATTCCAAGCTGCAAAGAGCGCTGGGATATCCTTGCTTTCTATCACACACAGGCCTTCTCTTTGGTAAGTGTACTGATGTGTTTATAATGGTTCTCATTTTTAGTTTTCTATCAAATGATGGACCCACTTTTAGTCTTTGCACTAGGATGCCTGTTAAATCAATATTGTGCTAAAATAAGCTGACCTCAATAATAGACATGTAAATGCATTTACTATTGATTTTTTTTTTTTTTTTTTTTTTTTTTTTTTTTTTTTTTTTTCTTCCCTGTTTGTGCTCCTATTTATTTCCTCTCTTTTCTTATAAATGCATTCTTGTTAATAGCAACATGCAGGTAGCTAAGCAGCAATTAATAAATACTTCATGTCACAGCTACAAAAAAAATCATCATAGTATTCTGTAAACGCAACAGGAAATGAAAATAGAACAGCTCTTTTTTAGGAGCTTGTCAACTGTTTGGGAGAAGATAGTGGCAAGTATGTCAACAGGAAATCTGTTCCTTGTTCTTCGATAGGAATAACATATTTCTTGATTTTTTTTTTCTTTAATTTTATTTTATTTTTAATGATAATTCTGCATACCATATTTTACATACAGTCTTAGCTTTCAGTATAATGCAAGCCCCCGAAGTCAGATTCTTTATTTATAAATCAGTAATATAAGAATGATATTGTAGTCATGATAGTCCAGAAATTGTGAGAGTCAAGGATGTCTTAGGGTGATATCTTTTTGGACCAACTATGTAGTCGGGATAAAGTTAAACAGCTTTTGAATGGAAGATATTCTTCCTCAGGTCTCTGATTATATAGGAAGACACAGGCAAATTAAGTATAGCATAGGGGAGGGGCTGAGAGAAATTCTCAGGTGTAGTAGACCATCATCATTGGCAATCCCTCACAGAGAAAATGATTGTTTTCCATTATTGCCTTATCTGTTGGTCCAGAGATGACTGACGAGGCCAATTTGCAATCAACAGGCTTTGTTACAGCTTGGTTTGTGGAAGAAATTAAGTTAAAGAAAGTGATCTTTCTAAATGAGACAATACTATGAACGACCCAGCATAAGAAATATTTTTATAGAGCACAAGAAGCCATCAAATGTATCACGTAAAGAAGAGTGAAAAGGCACAAACCTGCTGCCACTGAAATGGGCACCGTTGGCTCTGCGGCCCTGACTCTTCACTGTTGCTTTTATTCTTTTTTTTATCTGGGGATACTGGTTTTCCCTGACAAAAAGCCACTTTATAGGTGTGTGTGTGTGTGTGTGTGTGTGTAATATATATATAAATAAAAATTACACACATATATATAAATTACACACATATATAAATAAATAATAGAGAGAGAGAGAGAGGTGTGTATATATAGTGGCTTGTTATCAGGGAACATATATATTAGTTGAACACCTAGGTGTATATATAGATATAGGTATATCTACTAGCCAATTGCCTGTCAAGAATGATGGGGGAGGGGCAGCGGGCAGGGACAGAGCCCCGTGTCCCTGTCCCCGCTGTCCATCCTGCTGCTTGGGTTCCAAGCCGACTCGCCCTCCCCCCCGCCAACCGCGGCAGTAGGGGGAGGGGAGGAGCGGACCCAAGCCCAATGCAGGGGAAGACCAGGCTTGGGGTAGGTAGAAGCTGGCCCACAGCAGTGGGGTGGGGGGAGGGAAGCAGGGGGGGTGAGGAGCAGCAGGCCCAGGCCAACCCAGCAGCTGCGGGGTGATGGGAAGAGCAGGCTCAGGGCCAAGGGGGCCCACTCCTCCCCTCCCCCTGTCATTGCCGCATTGGGCTGGTTTGGGCCCACTGCTCCCCCTTCGCTGTTGCGGTGGGCCAGATTCTCCCCCCCCTCCCCCTGTCAGGGCTTGCTACTTCTCCCCCCTGCACCGTTGCGGCATGCCAGCTTCTCCCCACACCCATGTCAGGCCCACTCCTCCCCCACTGCTGCCACATCAGCCCATGTTAGCCCAGCAGGCGGCAACGGCGGGGGGGGGGCGGGCCAAGGCCAGTGCCAGTGGGCTCGCCCCCCCAGTGTCCTGACCCCGCTCCCCCCTACGCTGGTGCCGCCACCACCCCCAAGGAGCAGGGGGGGTGGTGAGCCAGCTCTAGTGGCCTCACCCTGCCCCCCTCCACTCCATTGTCACCACCTGCAGGGCCTCACCCCCCGCCCCACTCCATCTCCTGCATCCCTTCCATCCTGACAGTGCTCCACCACACTGCCACCTCCTGCCTGAATGCTTATTTTCACTCTGGCTGTTTCAGTCAGCCAACCAGAGTGCGAATTAAGTGTTATGGACAGACAGACCGATTAAGGCTTTAACAATATTAGAACATATATATATATGGGGGGGGTGTATAAAGTGTGTGTGTGTGTGTGTGTGTATACAGTTCCCCCCCTCATTACCTGCTGTGGGCTTGGGCTGTGAGGGGGCCAGCTCCTCGACACTGTTCACACTCCTGGGGGGGAGGGGGACCCATGCCCCCCCATACCTGTGTGCAGGGCAGGGGCAGATGTAGACTGGGTTCTCAGACTCCCTGCCATGCTGCCCTCCCCCAAGGCCTTCATAGCCCAGCAGATGCAACCTGGGAACAGCAGATACACACAGGGAAGTTTGTTGCTGCTGCAAGCTCCACACGTCCCTGGCGAGGCATCCCCTTCCCACATGGCTGCAGCAGGGGCAGTGGTGCGGGGTTGTGCCCCTTGCTGCTGCTGCGTGTGAGGGGATGCCTTGCCAGGGCAGCGCGGAGCTCACAGCGGCAAGGAACTGTCCCATGTGGCTCCACTGTTCCCTGCAGTACCAGGTTGCATCCACTGGGCTGCAGAGGCCCCGGGGGAAGGCAGCAAGGCAGGGAGCCTGCAGTGGGCAGCCTGTACCACCCCTGCCCTGCACACAGATCTGTGGGGCACAGGCCCCACCTGCCCCCCTGGGAGTACATGCAGTGGCAGGCAGCTGGCCCAACCCTCCCCTCCCCCTCAGACAAGCTGCCTGTGGCCCCATCCCGCTCCCTGCCAGAGCCCTGTGGCCGCATATTGTGACCCTAGGCCCTATGCACAGCCCCAGCTTTAGACCTGCCTCA